ATTATTCCTTGACGATCCCACCAGATTGAAAGAACCTTTTGCCCATGAAGTTCCCTTCTCGGCTGGGGTCCTTCCCCTTTACCAAGACATTGTCTACGACGCTTAACATTTCGATAAAAGATCCATTTTTCGTCGCCAGTCACAAGTCTTTCCGAAAAAGGTGAAACAAGTTGGCGAGAATGGAGAGAAAAGCAGATGTCAACTCGGGATTTGAGATTGTTTCCAGACAATTCATGAGGCACCCATATTCCAAGTTTAGGAACTTTTCCAAGTTGTTGAAGATGACGATAAACAGTTGTATGGTTTGAACTGAGAACCACTGCCAATTCCTCAACTGATAAAGCAGGATTTTCTTCAAGAGCTGCTTCAAGAAGCTTTTCATCAAACTCAACTGGACGTCCGGTTCGATCTTCATCTTCAAGGGTGAAATCTCCACCTCTGAATTTTGCAAACCATCTTCTGCAAGTTCTTTCATTCACACATCCCACTCCATAAACTGAGTGAATGTTTCTAGCCACTTCGCTGCTTTCTTGAATTCATAAATCATTATGTGCCTCAAATGATTCTTGGGTACTTCCATGTTAGTAGGGTTTTAATCAAACAAAATTGAATTTTGTTGTTCTCTTAAATAAGATTTGATCAGTTTAAATGCATCTAAACATAAAAATGCTGTTAAGATCCATGAGACATTATAAAATACTCTTTAAATTTCGTTCATTTTAACAAAAAGTTAAAATTCAGAAAGAACTTATGGGATGACCTGATATATATAAAGATGCACATGTACTTTTAAGATATGCTGTATATCTTAAAACTATATGTTTATCGTCATATATATATATATATATATATGTGTGTGTGTGTGTGTGTGTGTGTGTGTGTAAGAATGAAGATGTAAAGAAATGTTTTATTTACCGATATATTCCGTCACCTGATCGACTTTATCAAGGGAAATATAAGGATTTTGTTTTGCAAAATGTATTTTTAAACAAAAACTTCGTAAGGCTTTCAAAATTTAAATTTTAACAACGCTAATAAACATTCTTCAGACTGATTGTGTGTCAGGTTAAGCTCTGGAATATATATATATATATATATATATATATATATATATATATGTGTGTGTGTGTGTGCATTGAACGGATGGCAAAATTCGTTGAAAAATACACCCCTATACTACCTAGACTTCACCTCTTTTTCGAAAGTAACTCATAATTGATACAATAATAGTTAATAAAAATGAACACGCTACCGCCCCTGTCTAGATGATTAGATTTCTCTGTATCCTTGGAAACCAAAAATTATGAATTGTATGAGCGTTTAAAACTCAGTATATTAAAAAATAAATTATTTCAAAATTCGCTTGAAGATGAAACGGATCTAATGCTTTTAACTTAATTATATAAAGAAATTTGAAGTTTTTAACTTCGGTTTTTGAAACGTGGTAATTCCTGTGTAGCGAAGAAACCATATTTTAAATCAGATAATTTAAAATATTTATGCTCTGTAAATTTACATTTTGTAAAAATAAAAATATCAGTAATAACACCGGATTATATATCTTACATTTCTTTCTTTTTATTATAATATATATAAATATATATATATATATATATATATATATATATATACTGTGTTATAAATGTGGCTAAAATGCTCTACTGTTTATCATGAGTTGAATATGAAGAAATATAGTCTTAAGATGTGCTACATTTATGGGATAAAGTGCTTAATATCAGAGATAGATAAAGCGTGTGTAAATATAAAAGTGACATTGAAGTCAACACTAAGAGGCGACAGGCTGTTTCATGCTAGATGCAGTTGTCAGTCCACGAATGCTTTTATACACACGCTCTATCTCTGATATTGAGCACTAAATAAAGAATATATATATATATATATATATATATATATATATATATATATATATATATATATATACTTAAATTCAAAAAGAGAGTAACTCAAAGGTACCGAAATTACTTTCATTGATATTCACTCTGTTTTTATATTGAGATCTCTGAATAACATTCTCCTTGTCATTATCCATATATATATATATATATTTATATATATATATATATATATATATCAAGAACGTGCCCTCTGGGCAGTGCCTAACTTGAATAAAATGTATCAGCAGCTATACTGTGGTACAGTATACACTTAATTCAACAAAATTAGGACGGTTAATCTGATTATTAAGAATAAAATGCAAAATATTTTATTTGTTTGTAGATTTATTACATAAAAGTCACAAGCAACTTACCATGAGTAATTACTGTCTGCACATGTTATATATATATATATATATATATATATACACTGAGTAGAAGAAACGGTGAAGACCTAGGCCGTTTTCCCAGAGTGAGCCCTTCCATTGCACTCCGGTAGGTTTAACTTCTTGGATCGCCCCAAGTGTGGGTTACTCGTAAACGTTATTTCTAATTCATACATATATATATATATATATATATATATATATATATATATATATATAGAGAGAGAGAGAGAGAGAGAGAGATAGATAGATAGATAGATAGATAGATAGATAGATAGATAGATAGATAGATGCGGAGGTAGTGTAATTGAGAGAGACGATTAGATTGAGGGATAGTAGGTTAATTAGCAAGGTAAACTGTGACCCTCTTGCCGTCGTTGCCAATCAGTCTAGGAGAAAGACAACTGTTAATTCAAAACTCTTTCACCTGAAGCAGTCCAAAAGAGGGTAGGATAAGAAGTGCACATATTATGTCTGTACAACAAAGCCGATAGATTTAAAAAAAAAAAAAATGATCGCACGGGACAGTGACTGTCTCGAAACTACCACTGAACCCACTGCTTTCTCTCACATATATATATATATATATATATATATATATATACAGTAATCCGCAGACAGGCTGTTTCACTGAATCACAGTATGGCTAGATATCCGATAGTTTCAGGCAGAGGCTCGAAACCCGACTGATTTGGTATTAGTCGCAGATTCTAACACCTAGGCCATCGACGTGCTCAGCTTGGTTTTGATTTTGTCAACTCCACAGTATAATAGGGTCAGTTGGGCAACTACCGTCTGTGAGAAAAAGAGCAACCATGACGCGATTCACTCCGTCGGAAAGTTGGATACGGTATCCTGTACTGCTTGGCATTCGAGTTGAAATCTCCAATAAGTACTCTGCACCATGACACACAAACAGGAGAACCCAGTCATGGCTGTCAGAAAATTTCTGCAACCACGTAAACCCCTTACATCTGGCCATCTAAATCCCCAGACGGCCACCCAGTTTATTATTTTGTGTATGGCGCAGTTGAACGAGAGATCAACAAAATTCCTTGTCACCAAAGCTGAACTGAAGGCAAAGATTATGGCAGCGTTCATCAACTTAAAGAAGGAGACTGCCCAGATGAGTTGCAAGAGATTCCGAAGTCGTATGGAGGCCATGGTTGAAACCCATGGCGATTTTATTGAATTAAATTATTCTTTACAATTTCAAGATATCTTTGTGTAATTTTGGTAAATATATCTGTTAAAATGAGATGTCAGTGTTATTTTCATTTTGGCGTCATTTAGACGACAATTTATCCATCGCACACTGTATATCTGTTAAAATGAGATGTCAGTGTTATTTTCATTTTGGCGTCATTTAGACGGTAATTTATCCATCGCACACTGTATATCTGTTAAAATGAGATGTCAGTGTTATTTTCATTTTGGCGTCATTTAGACGACAATTTATCCATCGCACACTGTATATCTGTTAAAAGGAGATGTCAGTGTTATTTTCATTTTGGCGTCATTTAGACGACAATTTATCCATCGCGCACTGTATATCTGTTAAAATGAGATGTCAGTGTTATTTTCATTTTGGCGTCATTTAGACGACAATTTATCCATCGCGCACTGTATATCTGTTAAAAGGAGATGTCAGTGTTATTTTCATTTTGGCGTCATTTAGACGGTAATTTATCCATCGCACACTGTATATCTGTTAAAATGAGATGTCAGTGTTATTTTCATTTTGTCATTTAGACGACAATTTATCCATCGCACCCTGTATGTATATATATATATATATATATATATATATATATATATATATATATATATATATATATATATATATATATATATATATATATTCATTCATTCTTCTTCTTCTTCTTCTTCTTCTTCTTCTTTTTGTGTCGTGACCCCTAAGGACGTAGAAGATCGTGGCGCTCCATAATTTCCTGTCTTTTGTAGCGCTTAATAATTTTCCTCTGTCTGCTGTTTCTCCAAAACCCTGTTCAGCCATCCATTTACTGAAGCACACTATGTTATGCATTGGTTTCCTCTGTCCCAACGTCTTTTAGTCTGCCCTGTGAGTATCAAATTTTCCAAGCCTTCTATTCACTGACTGAAAAGATATAAAATAATACACCTGCTCAATATCAAACCATTGCCTTTTTATACTGGATCAATGAATTAAATTTAATTCTAAATTTAGCAATAAAGGTTTAGGCTTGTAAGGGCCAGAATATTCGAAACGGCATATAAATTTATCAATAGTATCCAATCTACATACTTTGCGCCGGGTCGATAGGTGCGCAAGTTGGTAAGCCGTCACGGCATTTAGTTATTTAATTTGTGAGAAACAGGAATAAAAACAAATATGACAGAAATTGATTTAGAATATTAGAAATAATCTCGGTTCAAACAAGATGTAAAAAAAATGTTTGCTCATTTAGTCAAATCTAACAGAGTTATTTAAATAGATTTGAACAAATGAAAAATCGAGTGAGAAAAGGAAAGAGAAAGAAACAGAAACAGACAAATGAGGAAATATCACTTTCCCGTTGATCATTAATTTTATAGTTTGATCTTCACTACATGCCCCATCGTTGAAGTCTGTAAGAGATAGATAGATAGATAGATAGATAGAGAGAGAGAGAGAGAGAAAGAGAGAGAGATACATACATACATATGAACTAAATCGTATACATATGAACTGAATCACATAGATAGATAGATAGATAGATAGATAGATAGATAGATATGAAGTGAGTCACAAAGATACACACGCAGATAGATAGATAGATAGATAGATAGATAGATAGATAGATATGAACTGAATCACACACACGCACACAGATAGATAGATAGATAGATAGATAGATAGATAGATAGATAGATAGATAGATAGGAACAGTTTGAGTTAGATAGATAGATAGATAGATAGATAGATAGATAGATAGATAGATAGATATGAACTGAATTACACAGACACACACACACACACAGAGATAGATAGATAGATAGATAGATAGATAGATAGATAGATAGATATGAACTGAATCACACACACACAGATAGATAGATAGATAGATAGATAGATAGATAGATAGATAGATAGATAGATAGATAGATATGAATTGAATCTCACGCACAGATAGATAGATAGATAGATAGATAGATAGATAGATAGATAGATAGATAGATAGATAGATAGATAGTTAGATAGATATGAACTGAATCACACACACATAGATAGATAGATAGATAGATAGATAGATAGATAGATAGATAGATAGATAGATAGACGGGTCGGAAGAAACTGGCTCATATTGATAGAAAAGAGAAAACTAACAGAAATCCAATCAAGGTGTGGTTAGAGATAACAAACCGATTGCAAAGTCGTACTATTTTGTCAGGTAAATAAAGTCATTACTCGAGGCTGTTTACAATGGAAACACACGTGAAAATGACCTCACCGTGGAGGGTGTCAAGACAGCTGTGGAATAACACGAAATGGCTGGCGAACACCTCGGAGATTCACACAATGAGCAAAAACCAAATGGTAACGAATACGTAAAAGCAGAAGCAGAAAAATAATAAAGGCCTGCGTAAAAGAATGAGAATATCTATAATGGAATAAAATTGTTTGCGCATCGCTACCTACGTAGCAATGGCGTGTGTGAAAAGCTTCATCCAATTGTACACTGGCTCAGTTTCTTGCTCAATATTCTCGCTAAAAAGTTACGCTGTTTCATATTAATGTCTTTACAAGGTGAATATTTGCTGGTCGCATTTAGCAAGCGATCAGTAGATAATCACTAGAACATGTTTTATTTGCTTTTTTAAATTATTTAAATAAGTTTAAAAATGAAGATTGTAAAAGCCAGTGAAAAATATAGAGTAATTGACGTTGGTTAAATGTAATTGCCAGATCTGCCCAACAAACAGAACTGACAATAACAAAAAGAAAAAAAGAACAAGGCAAAAAAAAAAAAAGAAGCAAACAATATACGTCTATATTTCTGAGATGAGATATCATGTAGACTATTTACATTATTTAGACAATTGTCCTTATCTTTGTTGCCATATTTATTACAACGTTTCGGCCATTGTACGCTCCGGCCTTCTTCAGGTGATTGGAATGTCGGACAGAACACTTTATTTCGCTCACTGAGGTAGACTGTTCTAGTTCCACGTGCCATGTCTAATGGATATCAGTTATCTCCTGTTAATTTCCCTCTGAAAGTTCTCCACTGCCTTAACCAGGTATTGAACTCACACTCTTTGGGTCCTGTCACTGGATCTAACTAACGCTTTTATCCGCTGTGTCATGTGTCCTTGAGTGGCACAGTAAATAAAGGCATTAGTTAGATCCAGTGACAGGACCCAAAGACTATGAGTTCAATACCTGGTTAAGGCAGTGGAGAACTTTCAGAGGGAAATTTACAGGAGATAACCAATAACTGACATCCGTGGCACGGAGAATTGGTCAATCTTATTGGCTAGGAAAAAATCCCAGTATGCATCTGTACAATTTGTCTATAAATTTGGGGATGAGATGTTTTTGGAGTCATTCCTCTGATATTTGAACTAAGAGTTATACTTATCAGATCGGCAGATGGAATCGATGAGCCGAGTTCAAATTGTTCTGTTTCGTTCAATTTCACAATAATATTCTTGAAAAATCACGAATCAATACCTTCGCCTTTGCCCACCATATACGGGTTAAAAAGCAGAGTAAACTCTATTCTTGACCGACAGCCCGTCTAATAGAAGTACTACACTGAATCCAAAGCCGTGGAGAAGGTAACAGGAAACAATTCCACTATCTTTCTCAAGATTCCGTGACAATTCACAGATTATAAAGAATAGGAATACATAATGATCCTTGATTGCCTACGTTTTAAATGAACACTACCAGCATGGCCCAGCGTTGCCCGTGCTTGATTCAAAAATCATACGACTCATACAGCAATCGCTATCACTTGACTTAAAATATTTTTGCCCTTCCTTGCCTTTTAAAGGAGTGCCCTTTGCCGTGCTGATGTTGCTACATGCCTTACTTCTTGCCTATCTCACACTGCGAATTTTTTCCTAAGCTCTATACTAAACATTAAATCTGTTACGAAAAAGAACTAAAACAAAATGAACACAAAACGATCAGCTTTAAAAACAGGACTCGTAACTGGAAAACCGAATGAAAAAGAATGTTAACAACAAATACTTTTTTCACCCAACCCAGTTCTGCGGAATCAGAATCAACGTTGAGTTTAAGCAAGCGAATGAGCCAATTGGAGTAAAGTGCTATGCAGATTTAAATTTTTCCCACTTGTGACGAATGCAGCTATCGATTTTTTTTTTTGCATGCTAGTTAACATTCGTATCAGTCAGCTGTTGGCTCTCACGCTGGCCAATAGAATCTCCCTGCCTATTCGTGGCAGCCAGCTATAGGCTCTCACTCTGGCCAATAGAAAATGGCCACAAACTACATGAAAACTGCCGTAGAAGCATGAAAATATCGATTATTTCCACTATCGATGGGAGTTGGGAAATGCAAAGTCGGTCTTGGCCTTCCCGCTTACTTGGAGCATGTTCATGTAAATTTTGGAGCAAATCCGTCGAAAATTGCGACCGTGCATTCGTTACACACACACACACACACACACACACACAGACACACACACACACACATCCTGCCTTTTATAGATAGAGATGGTATTTAAAGAAATATTTTAAGCAACAAATATTGAAGGATTGAATAAATGAATGGCGGAACAGGATTTAGGAGAAATAGCAAAAAGGCGAAGTTTATTAAGAGCTGCAAAAGACTGACTGTGTGTCAGGTTAAGCTCTGGAATATATATATATATATATATATATATATATATATATATATATATATATATATATATATATATGCATTGAACGGATGGCAAAATTCGTTGAAAAAATACACCCCTATCCTACCTAGACTTCACCTCTTTTTCGAAAGTAACTCATAATTGATACAATAATAGTTAATAAAAATGAACACGCTACAGCACCTGTCTAGATGATTGGATTTCTCTGTATCCTTGGAAACTAAAAATTATGAATTGTATGAGCGTTTAAAACACAGTATATTAAAAAATAAATTATTTCGAAATTCCCTTGAAGATGAAACGGATCTAATGCTTTTAACTTAATTATATAATGAAATTTGAAGTTTTAACTTCGGTTTTTGAAACGTGGTAATTCCTGTGTAGCGAAGAAACCATATTTTAAATCAGATAATTTAAAATATTTATGCTCTGTAAATTTACATTTTGCAAAAATAAAGAATATCAGTAATAACACCGGCTTGTGTGGAGGTCCATTACGCTTTGAGTGGACACAGCAGGTAAAGAAGATGAATTATCTTACGAAAAAGAAAAACAAAATGAAATTATTTAACCACAGACGTGTGCTTGTTTCTATAAAGTTACATTGAAGATTTTTTTTTTCCTGAGCTTCAAAATTAATTCCTTGGGCTTGTAAACGATTAATCAAAAAAAAATAAAGAGCTGAATAAACTAATGAAAATTCCCAAAAGATAACACTGGAGATTTTTGTAAATCTCTATTAAGATCTTTTGTTGAAATATAGATTATTTGCTTATACTCGGCCTTACTGTCAAATGTTATTTTTGTGGGATCTGTCAGCCTGAACAAGAGATCCTAAGCCGGGTGCATTTAACTGTAATCGGTAGTTAAATATTCGTTTCTGTAAAGTGATGCTACTGTCTATTTTAGAAATCGCAAAGTAAATAAAGCCATTACCGGTTGTCCTCAATATACACATAAGACGCGCGGCCCAAAACCTTTGGCAAATTTGACAATGAAAGAAAACAGTACTTAGAATTATATACAATAGTTGGCAACGTTGCCCTCGAAATCATACAATTGAGCTCTTTCACGTCTGGTTAATGAAAAAAAAAAAAACACTGCTCAAGAAGGCAGCGGCAAAAGCCCGAACTACATTCGGTTTCAATGCACTTTTCAAATACCCTGAATCTTGCGTTAACCGTAGATCACTCCCTCTTTTTCTCTGTATCTGTCTATATTTCTGAGATGGGGTATTATGTACACTATTTACATTATTCGGACTATTGTCCTTATCTTTGTTGCCATATTTATTACAACATTTCGGCCTCTCATTATCTGTCTATATTTCTGAGATGGGGTATTATGTACACTATTTACATTATTCGGACTATTGTCCCCATCTTTGTTGCCATATTTATCATAACGTTTCGGCTCTTCATTATCTGGCTATATTTCTGAGATGAGGTATTATGTACACTATTTACATTATTCGGATTATTTGTCCTCATCTTTGTTGCCATATTTATTACAACGTTTCGGCCGTTGTACGCTCCGGCCTTCTTCAGGTGGTTGGAATTATTTCACTGGGGTAGACTGTTCTAGTTCCAGTTATCATTTATCTCATGTTAATTTCCCTGCCCAAGTTCTTCGCTGCCTTAACCGGGTATTGAACTCACACTCTTTGGGTCCTGTCACTGGATCTAAACAACGCCTTTATCCACTGTTCCATGTGACCTTTCTCTTTGTCTCTCTCTCTCTCTCTCTCTCTCTCTCTCTCTCTCTCTCTCTCTCTCTCTGTCTATATATATATATATGTGTGTGTGCGTGTGTGTTAAAATTTCAGATAGTTTGTATTTGTAAAAAGACAATATGACTAAAGACAACAAGAAAACTTATCTTAGCCGACGCGTTTCGTCCTCTGAGAAACTTTATCACGGTAAATGTAAGGATTTTATTTTGTGAAAAGTATTTTTATAGGCACTCGCACACCTAAAATTCTGAAAGGCAAATGACATTTTTTGATCTTTCATATGAATAATCGTCAAAAAATAATTTTATTTTTGCCTTGATATAGTCCCTCTTAGGACGCAACATATCGGCTATTATAAGTTTCTCTTTTTTTCCTTTAATATATATATATATATATATATATATACATATATATATATATATAATATTTATATATATATATATATATAAATATAAAAAGAATATATATATATATATATATATATATATATATATATATATATATATATATATATATTCTCATCTCTATAGATACACATATTTAAAAAAGTGCATATTCAGTTTTAAAAAATCCTTGATAATGGATAACAGAATAGCCGAAAGTGTTCGGATCTAGTGAGACATTTGAACATTTTTACACAATTTATTCCCAGAAATAAAAATATTTGTACGAATACAAGATACATTTAATAAGTAACCTAATTTATTTTTTCTGTTGCTTGTATAAAAGAGTAATTGCTGCCCAAATACACAATAGAAATAAGTGAGCCTGCTTGATAAGTTTAATGGGGGAATGTGCGAAATATTCTTCCCTTATAAAAATAATTTAAACTATATATATATATATATATATGTGTGTGTGTGTGTGTGTGTGTGTGTGTGTGTGTGTGTGTGTGTGTGTGTGCGTGTGTGACGTACGGTGGCCGTTAATGATTAAGTATAACTCAAGACTTCAATGTTAAAATAAAACAGTATTTAATTATAATCGCATATAAATACTTAACAAGAATAAAGTAAAAGTCAACAAAAGATAATTAACCATTTCAGTGAATACCTTGTTAG